ACAATTAATTATAGATGGTCTTGAGGCATACGAGTTTCTATACTTTCTCTTCAAAATATCTGCTATCTGCAAGAATTATCCATTTGAAGAATAAAGATCAATCCATCAACTTAATTACAACAAATAAATTACGAAAATATGTAGTCTTGTTGGTTTTGCGTAATATTTGCACAATATCGATATTTATCTTGAATACGAAAAGTAATCCGATGCTAATAGCAAACCATACCAAAGAATACGTGCCGTCCACTCACGAATAAAATTATCTTTGATATTCATTTATTCATTAATGCTCTCATCAAAAAGTCCCTATTTGTAGACAACTTACGTAGGAAGAGTTTTGGATCTGGTGAAATCAAATACATGTACAGTCGACTTTATAGCGAGCCTCTTTATAACGAACTCTAGATATAACGAACCTTTAAATTTTATATTAGTTCGTTATAGAAATAGTGGGCTCTATAGAAAACATAGTGTTTTATATAACGAACTTTTTTATTAACAGAACCGTCAGTTCGTTATAGAGTTGGCTTATATCAATATGTACATACATGTAGTTGTTCCATTTATCAGAAATAACAGCTTAATCACTCAGCATTAGACATAAACATATTTAATGTTAACCATTGTGAGATTACTAGTTTATTTTAAATATTTACGTATAACATTAGTAAAGAAATTCAAAAATTATGAATATAACAAAGAAATAAAGATAAAATTATTTTTTGCACTCAAATAGTATCTAAGATATCGTCTGGTATCGAATGAGCGTAAAAATTTTCACCAACCACTCCATACGGGCTATGCACGGGTTGAGAATCCAATTGACTATTATCATATACAGAAAAAATTAATGTTCAATTCAAATTTCGTATTTTCAAAATAGAAAAGGTTCAATATGCTTACCGACGCTGCAAAATTGGACTTGCTATTGTCAAAGTAAATAAAAACACGAATATTGTCAATATGTATTGAATAGAAATCATTTTTTAAAGCTTATACATTTGTCGAATTGTTCTTTTTCAGACCTATTTGTACGTTCGTTATTTTATTACGTGCATTAATGTTGTATGCGGACAATTATTTCTTAACTACGTACGTACGTACATAGTAGTGATAGTGATGTCGGCAACAATGCCAAACCTGTTTGAACCTTATCGTTATCGTTATCGTTATATACAAATAAAAGGTTTTAGAATTAGTTATAGTGATCATGATTGTATCACTATTCTTTTTTGTATGAAAGATAGAATTTCTATTGCTATTAATATCGATATTCAATCTGCTGGTACGAAATCATTTTTAAAAAAGCTATTAATAAATTGATTTTTAATTAAAGACTCAAGCTAACCAATTATATATATAACTAGTATAACTAGTAAAATTAATATCTAAATTAATCCATATAATCCATGTAGTTCACACTAGAATTAAGTCGATCATGCATAATTTGACCGACATTATATCAACGTACGAACTAGTATGCAATCGAAGTTGTAACGGATTACTTTACTATTATTACAGAAATCGGGGTACCTGAGGTATTCTTTTAAAAATATAATATGTTCGTTTATGTTCAATTATTAACAGTATTTAAATAAAATAACAAAAATTCTTCTTTAGGATGTTCAAAAAAATTTGTTTTTTATTTTATTATTAGTACTGTATTTGATACAAGTCATAGTCAATACATGTATATCTTTTTTAATCAATATTCTTTGTTGACCTCAATAGGTAGCATTGTGTTGAACAAATTGTTTACACGGTCATTTACACTCTATCGCTATCGCTATACTTTAGAGAAATAATTAAATCTTAGATTTTAGGCGGCAGCTCGGAAGTATGCATGGCTCTAAATCCGTGTATTGAATTTAGCGTTAGTGTTAGGAACAGTTGAAATCTGGCTTACCAAATGCAGAATTATGGACTCGTTTTGGCAATGTAAAAAAATTAAATATTGCATTTTATCGTTATTTCCATATCCAATACGTATCGGTATTATTAAATCTAAGACTAAACATTCAAAATTGAATTTTCCTAGCTGTACTTTCTGTTTAATCTAGTTCACACCCGAATGTCACAAAGTTCACAAATGTCGTGTAATTTTCATCATATTAATATGTAATAATAACGATAATACATGTTTTTAGGTGCTTCCGCCTGATGTGCATGTATCTATATATGTATGAAATTATGTTGCTCCAAATGAAATCTGATTTGCACTCACCTCAAAATCGCGCGTAATTTCCTTAGTTGTTATCATTAACTTTCTTTAATTCAAAACATCGAAACAGTTCTTAAATGCTAAGAGAATAAGCTACTCTGTCCTTAGTTAGAATATTATTTTAGTCTTAGATTATAATCTGTATTCGGGAATTTGTTTATTTATTACAGCAGACTTATAATGCGAAATGGTAAAATGAAAGAGGTGATTTTCTATTTTTATTGGAAAATCAAGTTTTTAAACTCAAATAGATGTGTTGTAGTAGAACTATAAGCTGTGACTATTTATCGGAGAATGTAAGAAAAACACAAAATAAATAATTGAACAACTGTAATTCTACAGTCTATTTTATATAACGACATCATTCGATTATATTTGAATATACTGATATATTTTATACGCATCATATCGTATTAAATTTTTAAAAATAAAAACTTTGTCTAGTAATTCCGATCTACTGCCACCTCACCGATCTCACCGTCTTTGCCACCTAAACCGACACCGGCGCCATAAACACCGCTACCGACGACGATGCCAGATGCACCACAAGGAGTTTGTGAGTCTTCGCTGTGTGTTCAATATCGCATTTTTAAAAGAAAGTATAAAGAATAATGATTTATTTTTATTGATCAAGTGTTAGCAAATATAATTTTTTAACTTACTCTTGATACCACCCCCAATCTTCTTCTCATCGTTTTGTTATTGAAAGCACAAAGGTCAAATAAAAGCAAATAAGATAAATGTGAAACAAGGATGTCATTTGTTATTAGTTGTATGATTTTATTTAATAAATGTATTGGTTAATTAAAAAAAAAAGTTATTATTCCGAGTAAAACATGAAACCATCCATTCTATTTATAATTGTTGAGAAAAAAATAAATATAGCTATAAAGGTATATTGACAAACTTTTTTCTTTCTATCGCTATATCTTGAGGCTTTTAATATCGATACGTATACAGTAGTTCATGTAATTGCTATGCATGTATTAACGTTAATATATTTCATACTGGAAAAAATGCAACTATAATTTACAATTACAGTTGCCTCTCTTTGTGATTTTCGTCTTTTAATCATACATGTATATGACCAATACAATTAATTCGATATTTGATATATTAATACGTAATGGTAAAAAATTACGATATAATTTTTTAAAATGTGAAATTATAAACTTTTGAACATTTAGGTGTGGACTAGACTAGATATATACAAGAAATAAATCCAAATAGATTTACCGTTACTTTTTTTTGTTATCGTTATCGTTACGCTAAAACTAGGCTGAAATTCAGATACATGTATACATGTACACGAATTTAGAGAGCTACAGCCAATAGACTACATATGCATACCTTCGATTTATTTTAATGCAAGACATACAGTATGTGTTGGGCAAATTGACAATGGTACTGCCAAATGAATAATTCAAGATTCACAGTGCAGTTCTTCAACATTCTTATTACTAAAAAGAGTGCCAAAGTTTTTATAGGGGAGGTACTGTATACATTCTTGTAGCATAATACATTGGGGTGTATTATTAATCTGATTACATAGTACAAGCTACATAATGATGATCACTAAGATTTTTATGAGTTATTACAATCAAAGTCCTTTACAACGGCCGATTGGATTGGCACTTTTGGGTCGATATATAGTGCTTATATTATAAACTTCGGTATATAGGGCGTTTTTAAATAGTTAAAAATCGTAAAAATTGGGATATAAACCGAATCTGATGTATACAGCGCCGTTGTAAAGGACTTTGACTGTATTATTAAATCAATATAGTGTTAAAATTTTCTGTAATACATAATAATACGTAAGTTATGAAAATTATTTTTTATATCGTCGCCAAACTAAAAGCTATCAAGAATTTATGTTCTTTTTCAAAAATTTCAACATTATTTTTTGAATTTTGGTGTTTTGTCGAATAATTCGCAATTTATCCTGGGAAACTTCTTGAATTCCACCATCTAAACCAACAAGTTGAATACGTGATTCTTGTAGTTGAGTATTCATATTTGGATGATTTTTGATATCATAGCGATTAAATAACCCTTTTAATTGTTGATGTACTACATTTCGTGATTTCAATCGACCCATCACAGAATTAAAAGAACAATTATTCTTTAATTAAACGTAATTTAAATGTGAAAGTTGTTGTTTATGTTGCAAATTATGCTGAATTTGATGACAACGCGTATTTTTATTTTACTTAATAAAGTCTTTACATTCTATTCTTACGACAAATATTTACAAAAAGCATTATGATTTTACGTTATGTGTAAATATCATTTGATTGTGATTTGCAATTAGCATATAAATTTTAACGTTGTCACTATGTAAAGACGCGTTCTATGAAGCTTCTTGTTTTTCCAAATTTAGAAAGTATTAGATATTACAGGAAAAATTAAAGGTGATACTGTATATAGTATCCCCCAATAATAATATTCCCAATAATAATATTCCCAATGATTATGTAGACACTATAAGCCCCTTAAATATTTTTTGATAATTGTTAATTATACATGTAAATCGAAAAAAAATTAATGATTACTTATTCGAAAAACCTGTTTTTCCTGACATTGTATTACCAAATATGTAGATCTTAGAAATCAACCAATCACACGAAAGTCCTATAATCTTCACAAAAATATACATAATTTTATAAATTTATAAACACAAAGGTATACGCAGATACATGTATATTTTTATCTATTTCTCATTATACTTTGAAGAATAATCTTTTTCAATTTACACTTATAACACATTTAATAAATGACTAATTTCAACACTAATTACGAATATTTAACTGATACTGAAATACAGATTTTACAACGCTGTCCTTACCAATTATCCCTTTCGATTAACGAATTAACAAAATCAGCCATAAAAAAACGCTTTGATTTTGATAAACCACCAAGACCACAAAACAGTTGGATTATTTTTCGAAGAGATTATGAAGCAAGTTTACGTTGTCGTAGTCCTGACGTCAAACAAGAAGTCAAACGTACGGCTCAAGAGTGTAGCCTGGTGTGGCGACAGCTGTCAAGTGAGGTCAAGCATTTCTTCAAAATATTGGAGAAAATAGCTTGTGAGAATCATAAGCGCATATATCCTAATTATAAGTATAAACCAAAAAACGCGAAAGATTCCAACATTAAGAAATGGGTTTTTCGCGAACAAAAGAAATACACGTTACCCATGTCCAGTTCAATGAATGGCAATTTATCTCAAGAAATCGCTAGGTCTCCCTCTTTGAATGATACATTATCAACAATCGAATATAATCATACTATCATCACTGCTTCTGATACTCATCCTTCCACAATTAATACTAATAATGATGCCAGAAATTCGGTCAACAACGCGTTTAATGAAATAATTTCATTTGATCAATTTCCTTTATGTGGAAATGTTGATATTAACGTTAATAATGCGGATTCAGCAGCCATTGATGATATACATCTTTCCACGATCAATACTAATAATGATGTCGGAAATTCGTTTGACAACGCGTTTAATGAAATAATTTCATTGGATCAATTTCCTTTTTTATCCGGAAATTTGGATATTAACGTTAATAATCATGCGGATTCAATAACCATTGATGATATTCATCCTTCCACCACTGATACTAATAATGACGTCGGAAATTCGATCAACGACATGTTTAATGAAATAGATCAATTTGATATTAATGACAAATTTTCTATTAATACTTTGAACGACAATTCACAATCAAACCAAATTCGTCACCAACCACTGATATCATTACCTTCCATGATCAACTACGATTCTTTGTTAATTAACACCGGTGAAATCGATAATGACATATGGGAAAGTATTATGTCCTCGATGATATGAATAATATCGGCGACATTAGCAATAGAACTTATCCCTAATTCTTTGACGTGTTTAGACAAGTTAGATTATTAAATGTATTTATTTCTCTTATCACTCACTTCTCTTTATATTTAAAACATCATGAATGTATGATTAGATTCCTTAATTAAAATTTTAAGTTTATTATATTTATGCGAATTTCTTAAGACGCTCTGCGTGTTTTTCATCTGCTTTTTCGTTTGTTTTATCCCTTCGTTCAGCTTGTTGATTTATTCTATTTGTTCTTCGGTTATTTATTCTGTCTGTTGTTTTTTACGTTTGGTTCGTTCTTTCATTTTGTTTTTTGTTCATTGGTCGGTTTATATGCTTTAGTAAAAATGTTCATCGCTTAATAACTATTATTAATCATAACAAAGGATTTCTTTATATTTGTAATGAGAACTGTGGTTTAAATCAGTACATTAAGATAAATGTCTCCCGTTATAGTGACCACCGCTTATTTTGACCTTTTCTACATTCACTCGACATACTGACACATTATAGTAAAAAATATAACGGTATACCTCATCATGTTTTTAGCTACCCTGAGCGTGTCACCATAACGGGAGGCACTCGTATTTTAGCTGGAAAGATAAATATATTTATTATGAGGGATTACTGCTGATTTGGAAAATATTAATCTCTATCATGTAAATTTACCCGTGGAAACCTAGACAAATTTATTCTTTTCGAATTTTAAAGACATTTATTATCATAGAATGGTTTTTAAATCACATTTTATTAAGCCATTGGCCAATATCGATATATAAAATTATTATATTATTGGGTTGACCAGTTTTGATTATCATGAATTTCGACCAGTCGATGTAATCGATTTTTGACAACTATAATGCTGACGGGAGAAAATTTATGTTTGTAATCGACCCGGTGAAAATTCTGCTGTTTGATGAGTTTATAAAAAGCTTGTGATATTAAGTCGATTGATATAAATTCAATTAATACTTTATTTCAAATTTAGCTTTTCTAATATCTAACTAATACTAATCGTCTTCACACCCTTACAATATATTACCGGAAATTCCAAAAATGAATTTGTTATTTTGGAACCCGATATCTCGACATCTAGTGATTCCATTCGGACAAAGATATCACTAAATTCGCCTCGACTATACAAATCTAATGGTGATATCTTTGATCGAATGGAATCACTAGATGTCGAGATATCGGGTTCCAAAGTGACAAATTCATTTTTGAAATTTCTGGTAATATATTGTAGGTGTGTGTAATTGTTTGGCTTTTTTGGAATTGATAATTCATAATCTATGCTCAAATATATATATATCATTCTTGATATATTAAAATCTTTGGTTTATTTCACTTATTCAATATAACTATTATAAGTATAAAAATATATAATTAATTTTCAAATAATGTTATTTAGTCCCCCCCCAAATAAATCTTGTTCTAATAAAATTGTAAGCTAAAAAAATCCCAAAATTTATACATATAATAACTTACAAAAATAATGCACCACTTTCAAAATTTACTATTAAAATATAGTAGAATTGAAAATTTTATTTTATTAAAATTTTTAATAAAATTTTTATTAATTTAATTCAAAAAAATTTTAATTGCAAAGTAAATATAAAATTTTTACTTTGCAATTAGAAAAATTTTTTTGAATTAAACCAAAAAATCTGAAGAAATAATATATTAAAATATAATTATAATTTTGATTTTGATTTTGATTTAAAAATGCATTCGTTACTATTAGCAACAGTTACTGGTTATATATAGAGTTTTAATTAGAATTAGAATTAAAGTTAAAGTTATATAACTAATTTTTAATATAAAAAAGTATTCAGATATATAGTAAAAATTTATAAAACTTTCTTATATTAAAAGTTATTAGTAATTTTTTTATATTAAATAAATTTATTATAAAGCAATTTAAAGTTTAATTTTTTATATTAAATAAATTTATTATAAAGCAATTTAAAGTTTAATTTTTTTATATTAAATTTTAATTAGTTTTTTTATTTAAAAATTTCTTATATTGAGAATTACTTATATAATATAATAAGTAAATATAACAAAATTTGATAATAAATATTTTTGTTGAAAATATTCATAAACAAAATTAAAAATATTAATTATTTTTTAAAAAAGTATTTTTTAATTTATTTTAAATTTTAATATTATATTTTAATTTTGTAATTTGATTAATTAATTATAATTTAATAATTATTATTATAATAACAAACAAATTTATTTTAAAAATTAAATATTTTTAATAATAAATATTATTTATAAATTATTATATAGATATAATCTATTTGTTTTATAATAAATTTAATATTTGAACTAATTAGATTTTATTCTAAATAAATTAGCAATTAAAATATTTAATATAATATAACAAATACTTAATATAATAATTAACAAAATTATAGAATTACACATATGATTTTATTAATAAAATATAGTAAAAATTAAAATTTTTATTTTATATAAAAGTTTTTAATTTTATTAATAAATATTTTTTATTTTTATATCAAAATAAAAATTACAAGTTATATTTTAATATAAATTTTTTAGATTTTATAATTAAAATATAAAATTAATTATATAAAATTTTTGCAATAACTTTGAATAAAATCATATATATAATTTTATTAATCATTATATATTATTTAATAAATATTTGTTTTTTATTATATATATAAAAATAAAAACTATAATATATTATAATAATTTTTTCATAATTTTATTAATCATTATATATTATTTAATAAATATTTATTTTTATTATATATATAAAAATAAAAGCTATAATATATTATAATAATTTATTTAAAATTAATATAATTATAATTTAGTATTTTTAATATTTATTTTATATATTTTATTAAATATTATAAAAAATAATTATTTTATTTTATAAAAAGTTTATACTTTATTAATTTTATTAATTGAATAATTAGTATTTTTATATATAATTTCTCAATTTAATTGTAAAATTATTATATTTTATTTTATAATTTCTTATTTTAATTACAAAATTATATTTATTTTAATTGATTTAATAAATAAATAAATAATTAATATTTTACTTGTTTATAAACTATATTCAAAAATATAAATATATTTATATTTATTAAAAAGAATATTTTTGATTTTATTTTAAAGTAAATATATATATTATCTATTTTTAGTATAGTATTTTTTTATTTAAAATTAATTTTAAATAATATTTTTTCTATTTAAATTATATATAAAAAACAAAGAATAAAATTTAACTAAAATAATAATAATATAATATATTTTTTTAATATATTAAAATTTATATTATATTAATAATACTATATTATATAATTTGATATATTAAAATTTATTATAAAACAAATTAAATAATATAAAATTTTATAATTATAAAATTAAAAATTTAATAAATTATAACTAATTATAATTTATCTTTTTTATAATCATCATGTTTAGAAAAACAAAAATGAATAATATAAAAAATATAACTATAAAGTAATTTTTTTATTATATTTATATATAAATAAAAAAATCTATAAAGATATAATTATAAATAAATATAAATATAAAGAAATTTAACTATAATAATTAAAAATTAACTTGATTTATTAAAATTTTATTAATAAATATTTTTAATTATTAAACTTTCAAATTAAATAATTTTTTAAAAAATTAATATTAATAATATTTAATTTATTACTTAAATATATAATAATTAATATTGTTATGATATGATATTTGTCAAACAATCTTATTGGATAATATATGAATTATTATTGGATTATATTTATTAATATTTCTATTGGATAATTATTTTTAGATAGTTATTATTTTATTGGATAATTATATATTAGATATTATTGATTTTTAGATTTGTATTAACACTAGCAATGATAGCAACAACATTAACACTCGTATTAACACCAAAAATACTGATAATACTCATATTGTTGTATAATGACCTTTTGTCATAATATTTTATTGGATTATAAATATCTTATATATTATTAGATAAAGATTATATCACGTGAAGCGAGCGAACGAACGAATAACTAAGCGAACGAGCGAACGAACGAGCGAACGAATATTGGACCAATAGAATTTAAGTGATA